AAAAAAAAAAAAAAGTTAAGCTTAGGAAACTATCAATGTCCGTAATCGTACACACACTTGTCCACGTAACCATTAACCAGTTTACATATAGAAAGAGTTTATCTATTCATTCCCAGAGAAGAGAAATTGACAGGTAAAATTCCACATAGGCTGGATGCGGTAAAATTCTCGATATGAATACAAAAAGAAGATAGAAATATTACAAATGAGATGAGATGCCGTAATTGTGAAAATTACAAATAACACTTATCCATTTTATCCTTATATTTTAGATACTTTCGGGCATCTTTTAAAAATCTCAATCGGTAATAAGTTTATAACATCCAAAGTCAGATTAATGTTTCGGCTGCATTAATTTTAAGGAGGTACCCTCATGCCTCTGCTTCTGCTTCTGCACACATATGTAAAATTGTAAATAAATAAATTTAAAAAAAAAAAGCCATTATTTATAGAAATGTGATTTATCATTTATGAATTTCGAGGCCCAAGTGTCCAATCATTTTCTCAGGCCGGAATGGAAACATGATGGAGGAATTGGACAGCTTTGGAGCACATCATTCGTAGGATAGCTGCTAGTGGAGAACGCAGCCTTCGGGATATATATCCACCCAATCCCTTGATGAAGCTTACCTACCCCGCCCCAGGTTGTGTAGATAGGGACACCTTTTACAAGATCCACATGTGGGAATATCCCACTTTTGGCTTTTGACTTTAATATCATATGCAACTTTAGGTCAGCCCACCCCCAAAGCAAACGTCCACCACAAATTTATATCAGGGTCATTAATTAAACTCTTGCCCGTTACTGTATAGCATAGTAGGAGTTTAAATCAGCCTAATCAAGTTGTAATTTTGTCTATTTTTTACTGAATTTGAAATTGTTTAATTATTAAAAAAAAACTAAAATAAGCTTTTATGATGTTGAGTTCAAGTAGTTTGAATGTATTATATCTAAACTTTAAATTTAATGTCAATTGAATTACAAATTTGAAAGTTTAATGAATGTGAAATTGTATTGATGCAGTCTGACTTGATTACTTGAAAAAACCAAACGTAAACAAGCTCTTAGAAAATCGAACTGAGTCAGATTCGTCACTTATGGAATAATTTAAGTTATGTCAACCATCATACTATGTATTAAACCTCCTCAAGCAACTTTGATGTCCCGTTTCTTGGCCAAATTAATTAATTGAGGCTGCAAGTCACTAATGTGTTTTCCAATTCTCACTCAACCAAGCTATATATATATATATATATATATATATATATATATATATATATATATATATATATATATATATATATATATACATACACACACGTATATATATATATACACACACTTAGTAGTGGACATCTATTAGTATTAAACATTTTTTTGTTTATTTATGTGCATGTCTCATTAATTACGCGCGGTACGTACAATAGTATGTGGCTAATAAATGCAATATTTGGAAACGTGCCTTTAGAATAATTGATTGAGAAATTTATCGTCATTGCAAACATTTGTGTACTTGTCCTGGGTAGTAGAATGAATCACATCTAACTAGGAGGCGAGACGCAGATGCGAGTTAGGGAAAAGGCAGCAGCTATCTGAATCTGGCCAAGATTTAATCTGTTTATTTTTCCGAGTTCACGGCATTAGAATATTTTCTTCTGGTTTACAGAGCTATATATGAAATAAAAGTAATAATCTGCACCTGTATCTGCTGTATGGGATTTGCGAATCATGTTACCGAGGATGGCTTTTGCCAGAATGAATGCCAGTATCTAGAGTAGGCACACAAAGGATGGATGGATGATTATGGGGTGAAGAAGTCTCCTAGTCCTAGGTACGTAGTTTTTGAGGATTGTGAGGGATGACATCCATCCGCTCAATCTTAATTACCTGCTCAAGTGAAGTGAAGTGTATACTTACTGGGTTAATTTGTGAGAATTGTAAATCAATCATCAAAGAGTACGGAACTCGTACAAGCTAAGGGCTGAGAAGAGGGAGAAATGACGTCGACGTTATTCCCTGAGGCTGAAATTCAAATTAATTGGATAGCTAAGCTAAGCTAAGCTAGGCAGCCCATGTTCTGCCTTCACATGCATAGCTTTGCTCTCAAATTCCTCACAAAAAGCAATTAGCATTTGCATTGTCGCCAATATTTCCCCATAGAGCTGCTGCTGTCCATTTGCTGTATATTATTATTACCCAATATGTCCAATGAGGAGGAGGAGGAGGAGGAGGAGGAGGATGATGATCGGATAACTACTGTGACGAAAGGAAATCCTGGTTAGCTACTCCACAGCCGACATTAACATTAAATAGTTACTTGAGTACAAAAATAATAATTGCAATTTGTTGGTAGTAATTAATAGAGTCACTACACTACAGCAGTAGTAGTACTACTAGTGCGAGGTAAGTAGACGTGGGGGGAAGGTGGTGGTTTGCGTCATTAATCCTGATCAGAGTGACGACGTTTGCCTGATTTGAACTAATCAACAACCTTCAATTAGCAAAAGGAATTTTATCAAAATACTACTCGATCCACTAATCTCTGACTCTTAATTTGACATGACACACAAGGCCGATTGCATTATACTATTAATTATTGCGTAATTTGAATCGAGTTGAAGGAAGCTCTTCTTCGCATCCCTAAGCTGCAGCTTATACCCATAGCCATCCCACTTGTTCTTCTATTAATTACGACGTACAGTTGATACGCGAGACTGATATTAATTATGACCATTAATTCTGTTTTAAAACAGCTATATATCCAATTTAATTTGGAGCTGCATACGAGGGGAAAAAATGGAAAAAAACCAACAGATATGAGTTGTACCCTTCCCCTTCCCCTTCCTTCTTTTGCCGCCTCCTATCCATGCGCGGCCTCACTTAGCTTGCCTCTGTTGAACTACTACTACTGCTACAACTACATATTCTAATTATGGACTACCATTTTGTGCTACCAAAAATTGGAAAAACATCTCATTCATGAAAAACTAAACCCTCCCATCACTGCCCAGCCCACCACCTCTGCCCGGCATATCTTACATATATACACACACATATATGATAGTAGCTGACTGACCGGCCGACAGCCGTAAGTTCTCTGCTACACGTGTAGAAATGGAAAAATAATGGGAAAAATAAAATGTTTTTGATCATTAGAAGTGTGCGATAGAGTAGCAGCTGCTCGGTTGGTCGCAATCGGGGGATCGAGTGTGCTAGCGCGTCTCTGTGTGTATGTACATACAGACATACAGGTTATGTATTTTATTTATTTTTTTTGGGTGGCCATCATAGACGAGGTTTAAGTTTGACGAGGCTGTATGGTAAACCGCACACATGGGTGGGAGTGGGATTAAAGTAGAATTAGGAGAAGGGGGTGGTGCTTTGTTTAATTATGATGATGATCAGATAGGAGTAATTAATGTGGTACGTAGCAAATGATTCTACAATATCCCAGGCTAGGCTACAGCGGTACAACAGCCTACAAGAGAGAGAGAGAGAGAGGGAGAGAGATATATATATATACACATGATATATACACACATATAGAGAGAGAGAGAGAGAGATCTGACGCTCTCTTCTCTTCTCTCCGGAACATATACGTACCATAAGAAAAAAAGCTCTACTGCATAGGCTACTTCTTCTGAGGAGTAAGTATTATTATAGGTACAGTTGGTTTGCAAGTTGGTTTTTGTAGGGGGGTATAGGCATATTATAGTAGGCGGAGGACCACTTAGCCGAAGTTCACACATGACAGCCCTTAAAAACAAAACCAAACTTCGCCATGGGTTCCAGTTCCAGCTCCTCTTCCTCCTCACCTCTCTAACCTTATCCCGCTAGCTCTTTTGACTTTCTTCCAGTCCCGTCGGAATTGGACGAGCTGTTTAACTAACTACAACGTGCATGCAACGATATAGGAGTAATACCCAAAGCATATGCTTGCCAATGCCAGCCCTACTTTTGCTGCATAAGTATTATTTGTGTAGAAAAGACAATAGGGGGTGGAGTCAGAATATGTGGATCCAATTCCAGGGACACAAAAAACCCTAATAAATCTGTAGGTTATTGTGGTCCACCGACTTGATTAAAGCTTCAATCGGGACTTGCGCACTTGAGTTGAATTCAGCTGTCAAGTTTGTTTTGGATAGCGCATTGTACAAATTTATTTGCCTACATTTTATCAAATCACTTTTTCATCATATCATAAAAGTGTTACCGTAGTATTGTTTTTAAAAAAATTATTTCAAATAATCTATTATCCAAATAAAACACTAGCCTGGTGTCAACAAGTTCTGCAGCACCTTCAACCTCCATTTTTCCTCTAGCCAAACATCCGGGATATCCAAGTAAAAACAATCGATCCATGAAAACATTTGTGATGTGTCTTCATGTTAATAGATTTAATAAGACATAAGTTTTGTTGCTAAATGATAACCAACAACCGTTGTTGGAAGTGTCGGCTGGGGGCTTCCTGGCAGATTAGGCTCGAATCTGGCTGTCATGTTTGCAGGAGATTTTATATTTTAAAATATATATATATATATTTGAGAAATGAAATTTTCTCCTCAATTCACATTCAATTCGACGACACAGCTTACCGGTTACAGTCGAACATAGACCTCTGTTGCACAAGCCCACTGTATAGGCCCATAAGCTAATTTTTCGGCTGCTTTTCATCCAGATCCAGTGTAGGAGAAAAGAAAACGAATGAAAAATAAATAAAGTAGTTGCTTTGGCAACATTGAGCAGCTAAAGGATCCTCAAAATTGGATCCAAGCAACACTCTGCAATATATCAAATAGGAGGGAAATCAAAAAATTGGCCAACAAAAAAGAGAGCTTGGACAAAATAGTAGTTGCTTAAGTTATAGTCCAAGCCTAGCCCAATCTCACTTTGCGAACTATACTCTGGAGTAAAGCCCGGACCAGCACCTCCAATTGCCCAAAGAGGGTATGTTTGTTTGAAGGACCAAAGAGGGTATTAATTTGTTGTTTGACTTGCAGAGTAGTCCGTAAATTTTGGTGTCGGGAAGGGTTTAAGGGAGTTTGGAGGCGAAGAAAGAATCGAATATCAACAAAAGCCAAAGAAAAAAAAAAAAAAGAGAAAAACCCTCGGATCTTCTCTTCTCCGTATAATGGATCCATACTCTTCGTCGTCGTCGTCGTCGTCGTCAAGTGGGGCGTCGCCGCAGGTTTCGACGGAGGACATCATGGACCAGGTCAAACTCCAGCTTGCCCAGGCCTATGCCGAAGAGTTCCTCGAGGTATATTATGTATATGCTCTTCCGTCTTCTGATTTTATTTTTTGCCACCACTAAGGGAATTTTCTGCACTATCTATCCGCTTCTAATATTATTAGTGATTGTCTTCTCGGTTAGGGTTTCTGTTATTCAAATTTTATTTTAAACTTAAAACATTGTGCTATCTGATTTCTTTGCCAGTGCTACTACTATCATGTGCTCTATTGTTCAATGTACTTCTCGTTGGGTGTTGATTTTGCTCTGTCCTTATTTTTGGATACCCCCACCCCTCTATTTATGGTTTCTGTGATGCCTGTGTGCGGATGAAAAGTATTGCCCCAAATACTGTAGATTCATTTCAACCAACCGCATGGGAGTTGAACTTGGCATTGATTTCTCCTCCTTCATTTCCTCATGTATCTATTTTATTTTGAAAATCATAACGATCAAGTGGATTATCCCCAACTCCTTCCCCCCAAAACACTTAAAAGCACCCCCACCACCTATGGAGGTACATCATCAGTACATGTATAGAATTAGTTTAGTATTTACTTTTTGTCTTAAAATATGCTTATTGGTTTTACTGTTCTACTGTCGGTCGCTTACTGACAACGATTGCAACTCTAATTAGGACTGTATTGCCAAATCTATTCTGCTGTTGAAACCCTACAGAGCTCTAGGGTAATTATTAGTGACAAATTTTCTGCTGTTGCACAGGGGAAATATATGTTTTTGGGCTCTCATTTGATTTATTTATTTATTTATTTTTATCAATTTCAACACTTGAACACTCAGCACAAGCGGGCTATCAATACTAGGTTCATGCGTTTCATTTATGTTCTTTTTAGCTAGATGGCAACCATGAAATATGGTAAATACTAGATGGGAACAAAAGGATTTGACAGTCCAGAATATCTTTCCCATCAAGTTTAATCTTATTGCTAAGAAATTCACTATTTGTTTCCTACGTTTCCATTGCATTGATATTATCCTAAAAGATTCTTGCGTAGAATGAAGTACGTAGTTTGCTGGTTGACGATGTAGCCTGTCTATGTTATTTGTAACCCAATTTCAGATTCTTTTCTCCTTTTTCTTGACATTGTGTCTTCTAGAGATTTTGAAGAAGAATACTATTCTAGAGTCCTTGTACTTTTTAACTACAAGAAATTGGATGCCTTGGGCATGTGATCGGTTTGACTTTCTTTAATGTGATAATCTTAGGAAACTTTTAATCCGTGCATGTTACATCATCACCTAGTCTATATTTGTCCGGTAAATATTCACTTGACTACAGAATATATTTTGTTGCCTGGATGAATAATTGACTACATGCAAACTCGGCTGCCCTTTTTTTTTTGGCGCTTTCAATTTTCCTTTTATTAAGCTGGTTTTTCAATGTATGAAATTGAGGTTGAGCATTCCATTCTGCTAAACATTAACCTATTGATCATGTAAATGGTTTTGTCGATTCATCATTGTGAAAGCTTTGCTTTGTTTTTTGCAACCATGATCTAGACTTTGAGGGGAAAGTGCTTTGAGAAGTGTATCACCAAACCTGGGAGCAGCCTGAGTGTAGTGAGAGTAGTTGTGTCTCAAGGTGTGTGGATCGCTACATTGAAGCCACCGGTATCATCAGCAGAGCTCTTTTCGAACATCAAGCTGAAGTTGTGATCTGACAATTTTTAAAACTTTCTTCTGGAAGTTGTTGGTGGGCAGTTAGGAGGTTGTCGTTTTCTATTTCTGATTATCATTGATAACATAGAAATTTGATATTCTGATGGGGTCTGTAAATCCCACCTGGTTCATTCCAGAATACGTCAAACTTTTTTGCTTCTTGTTGGTAAATTGCACTTAATAGCTAAGTGGACGTGTCGATCGTTATATGCAACGCTCGTTAAATTGATAAATTGCACATGTCGATCGTTAAATTGCACTTAATGTTAGGAGGTTGCCGTTTTCTATTTCTGATTATCATTGATAACATAGAAATTTGATATTCTGATGGGGTCTGTAATCCCACCTGTTCATTCCAGAATACGTCAAACTTTTTTGCTTCTTGTTGGTAAATTGCACTTAATAGCTAAGTGGACATGTCGATCGTTATATGGCAACGCTCGCTGTCGACAGATTGGGGTCTCAGTGCCAAAATTATGTTTTTATCATCCTGCTGTTCGACGTTTTATATAAACATCATGTGGAAGTAACAGTTAGTACATAGTTTTCACGGAGAGGCAATCCCATTCGGGACGTTTTAGTGTCCTCCATCAAGAACACTGCAAAAGGGCTACTTAAGCATAGTAGAGAACTATTTCATACCGCTATGTTGGACATTTCGTCCAAAGCTCCTTGCCTCGTATCAATTTCAAAATAAAGCACTACTCTCCACTTGAATATGAAACTCAATTCGAGTACCAAAGTCGGCCTGTAAACGGTGTAAAAACTCAGCTCCTCGTTTAACAATCGCAAACTTTAAACTTCAAAATAACATTCAGAGTTCAAACAAAATAAACCAACCCGAATATTATGTTCAGTTCGTCTAACATTGAAACAAATCAAATGTCTACATAGTTGAAAATCAAATATCCTATATCCTCTCAAATTGAGGATACCATGCCTTTTGCTTCAGGCATTAGCAGTACGGAGAAGTAGTGAAGAACGCCATGCTATTTCATCTACTTCCTCAATGTTTGCAGTATGTACTCAGCATAGAGGTCCCTGCACCAAAAGCAGCTCATAAAGTCCCTCTTGAGAAATGCATCGTCATTAAGGCCCATTTATCATGTTCAAAATATGCATTTCCATCCTACTGCTAAATCCAGGCGTCAAATGGGCACTTACATGGAGTATTGCATGGCATCAACAGCTGTAGCAGCAGGCAGAAACTCATTCACTGCAACCTCCTTGTTCTCATTCTTCTTGTCTAAACAACATACCAACAAAAACATCATGTTTACCATAAAAAGCCATGCAGTATAGCTGACAGATCCTAAAACAATTTTATGCAAAATAATATGTTGGTAGCGAGCATACAGTCCTCAAAAAATCGACGGATTTCAGCAAGACGATGGGGGGGAAGCTGATTGATATCTGTGTAGTGCCGATACTCTGGATCATCAGCACATATGCAATAATCTTATCATCCTTCTCTCCCTGGTTTAAGAAGAAGTCATCTTATGAAAATCCACTGATGACAGCACTGAAATTATGTTCACTAGGAGGGAAGGAGTTTGTATTGTACCTGATCAATCATGGGCATCAGGCCCACGGCCCTTGCTCGAAGAAAGCAACCAGGGAGAACAGGTTCCTGTTACAGACGTCAATTTGTGTTTCATCAACCATCTTTCAAAAAACTAGTAAGGATGCATTAAGAGCATTGTTTTACAAAACATAAATTCATGTAAAGAAAATCTAATTAGTAGTTCATATTGCAACTCTCCTTGCCTGCATTAGAACTAACACATCCATTGGATCATTATCTTCACACAGCGTTCTCGGAATGAAGCCATAGTTGTGAGGATAGACCACTGATGAATACAAGATACGATCCACCTAAGGTGCCATTGTAAGACAGAGTGAGCAAAGTGCATCTAAACAAATCACCAAACAAATCCAAAGGCCAAATGTAATTTTGGAACTAATACTTTTGTGCTTCTTGATTAAGTTGCATCCTGATCTGCAGAACCTTATAGTATGTATGTGAAAGAAAGTAGCTTCATATTGAAAATAATCTCAAACTCTGCACATGCTAAAGGAACTTCATCATACCTTGATCAGACCAGTTTTCTTGTCAAGTTCGTACTTGACTTTGCTTCCCTTTGTTATCTCAATAACCTGTAGCATAAAATAAAAGAAGATGATGAAGCCACAGAGTCAGTAGACAAGTACACTACATTTCAAGGTTCAAGCAAAAAAGCTTCTACAATAAGATTTTTTTTTTTCCCAAATTCTATATGTGCTAGACAAATAAGATGGGTGTTAGGGCCATACAGCAACTAAAACTGTGGCTGCAGAAACTATGTGGCAAACTGCATTTTGATTCAATTAGAAACGAAATATAGCAGTAGCAACATGTAAAGATGAGCAAATTCATTCATGGAGTCAGATGAATGACTTCTTTCTAGAAACACATTCAAAGGAAATCTTTTGGACATTATCCTCCTAGGTGGATTTGTGATTTTCAGGAGGTGACGGGGTCTTAATGATCTGGAGGAAGTAGTGGTATAAATCAAGATCATCAAAAAGTTGTAGCATTGTGTTTACATTTATTAGAATGTCAGTCCCCAGATAAGAGTGTTGCAATTACTAAAGCGTAAGTTTAAGATATCATTTAGTAGAACATATTTGGAACAGCAAAGGGATCCTTGAAGAAATATGCTTCTAGGAGTAAGGAGAGTGATACATACAACGTTGAAAATTTGAGGAGCCCGCGGCCCTGGTTTAACAGAAAAGCAGTAAAAGTATCAGGTGATTGTGACTTCATAAAGGAATCGGATAACATGCAGTGAAATCAGGAAATAATAATTACAGAATCATATTTCAAATTTACCGATCTCAAGATCATGCCAAGGATGAGCAGCCACCGATCTCCTTGACAAAGATGAGAGTATTCGCTCATTCAGACGTGGAGCTCGCCTTTGTGGAGATGTTTCAGCTCCATTTTCATTTCCGTCACTGCTCATTTTTCCTAATCAGAGTAAGAGGGAAATTGAATGAGTCATGGCTTAAAGAATAGAAGATTGGAAATGTGGATAGTATTTTAGCGTCCGGGAAATAGAATAGAATCCCTCAGAAACCAAAATCGTGTAGGACTGGGGATTTAAAGATTCTGTACAACATTTTCTTGCAAAAGTCTCTGCTTGTGGGCAAGGGTACCAGTCAATGCAACAAGCACGAAGCAGAAATGTTACAAAGGATCGGCAAATGCTACTTGGATTGTTAAGAACATTAGCGCAGATCTAAATTACTAAATGTTGCGACAGTACTTTCAAAGGAGTAAATATCCAAGTCCAATCCCACCCACCATGGTCAAACGTTAAAAAGCAATAGCAATGGAATAATTACCGGTACAAAACCACCCGTGAGGCGGGACGCTGTTTGGGAAGAGTTAAAATTACCAGAGCCAGCTTTCTCCATGTTAGTATTAATTTTACAGGCCTAAACCCAGGGGCAGGCGGGGAAGTCGGAGAGAAGAGACAAGACAACCAACAATGATCGGAGCAGAAAAAGGCCAGATCTTTTGTTTTTCATGTTTTTTTTTTTTGGCTTTACCAAGTCGGTCTATGAAACGGAGGAATAGCAAAAATATAATATAGTAATCATTTAGGCTGCTGCAATTACAAGTCAATAAAGATCATATGCCCAACAAACAACAAATTGTATAATTAGAGGCTCCGCCAAGACATTGAACGTACGCATGCAAATTTCATTACCGAATAACAGGAAGTGCCGTAAACCAAATCATTGTGGAAAATGAAGAAGATAGAAGGGCAGCAGGCGTATGGAGTAAAATACCTCAGACTGGGTTGGTTTTGAGAAAAGCTGATGATGGGGTTGTCGGGACGTCGCTTCAAGAAAGAAATGAACAGAAAAAAGCCGGCCTGCGGATGCAGAGAAAAGGGAATTGGGGACAGTGATTCGAGGACTGGGGTGCAAAAATTAGAGCAGTATATATATATATATATATATGGAGGGGACGGGAGGGATCATATCCCCAGTACAAAATACAGAAGCAGAAACAAGAACCACGTGGTTGAACCCGAGCACAAGTAGCTCACAACCATACCAAGACCAGGTCAAACGCCCATAGTTGTTATTGTTGTTGGCCCTCCGCCACTTTTCCTTCCGTTAATTCCCATTGCAAGATTCTCGACTCCTCCCTCCTCGCATGCCTCTCACGTAAGAGGGAGGGCTGGGATTATTATTATCATTATTTGTATACTCAAAATGCAAGACACGTCTTTAGAAATATTTTCTCAATAGGACCTATTCCTCCTCTTTCGTTTTTGAGACGGGGAAAAAAAAGAAAAGAAAATTGGTTCCGATAGTGAATGGGTCTGGACTCTGGACTACGGTACATTGCAGCTTGGATCCATCCCAACCCAAGACTGTTTGCAGAACCAATTGGTTCCGATATCATTATTTTGTTTGGATAAAAGTTTATTTGGATGATTTATTTGAGATATTTACTGTAGCACTTTTTGTGATGTGATGTATGTGAGATAAAAAGGTGATTGGGAAGATAAAAGTGATTGGAATTTGTGAAAACAAATTTTGCAAATTATCTTTGTCCAAACAAACATGTCTTCTCAAACAATCTTCAACTGGCTCCATTTACATGTCTGCCTCTGGGAACTTCTAATGAAGCTAGCAACCATGCGCGATGCGATCCAGATAAATTGCACACATAAATGTTTGCCATTCAAAAGAAGAGTACAGATGCTATTTGTCTAAAAGATTTAACAATCAAATGAACATTTTCATAGGAAATCAGGATTTTCCCTCACTTCTAACATGTCCTTAAGTTCTGAGACGCTGCAAGATATAGAGTTACTACAATTAGCTAACACTCGCAAAAACATCCTCAAAAAGTTCAGGTGCACCAGAAAGTGGTGGTACAGGATCACCTACCAAGAAGGGGAGATGGGAAAGGTTTCGTGCTTGATAAGATCAAATGGATCTAAATATGCTTCAGTCGTCCTGCATGGCTATAACTTTGCTGCAGCACTGCAAATTGGAGGCTTTTTCCATCTTCCAGCATTCAGTCTACTTGATAACCATCCAATAAACATCTCCTGTAACTCCAAATACAGAGTCCAAGGGCCAAAACTGCAGACAAAGACAATTCCCCATAAAGTAATTTGTCTTTCTTCCAAACGCCTCTAAAAATGTTCAAAACTTAATATAGAGGTCTAACAGGTTGAAATTTTGAAATGATCGACAAAGCAAACAGTATACCGACCTGGCACAAATATGAAACAAAGGAAACTATAAGGAAATGCACCAAGTAACCAACACTACACTAATTCTTTCTTTTTTGGCTCAAGAACTGGAGGGTCAACATCAATTCCCATATTAGCAGCAGTGCCTGCTATAATTCTCATTGCTGATTCAATAGTTGAACAATTCAGGTCTGGCAATTTCTCTTGAGCAATGCTCCTCAATTGATCAATAGTAACCTTCCCCACTTTCTCTCGCTTTGGGTCTTTGGAACCTTTATCCGCTCCTACATAATCAGTTTACAATAATATAATAATCAAACTTTGGTAGCTCATACCTCTTGTATGTCAGAAAACAGATTGAAAAGGTCAAAAGCATACTATACAACCAAAACATATAGTCACAGCGTTAACTAAAAGTGTCAGATCCAGTTAAAAAATCACCATTTACCAGCTTCCCCCCCCCCCTTTTCCTTCTTTTCTTGTTGTCAGACGCACAGCATAAACATCCAATCTGAGAAACAGCACCCAAGCCAAGAAGGAATGGAGAAAACAATTTAATGAACGTCTCAAACTCATCTAGAAAGTTTCACCAAGTATATAGATATTAAATTGAAAGATTTTAATGAGTCACTGCCGTTATTGTACATCCCAATTTACGTTCATCCAATCCATTATACCCTTGTAAAATCTGTCAATGATGCATGATTCTGTCAATAATGCATGAAAACTTAAAGAGTACTCTTTTTATATGATGCATGATCTGTCATACCCTTGTGCCGTTTATGATTCTTTAGCTGTAGGAACAATGCCGATGTAAGCTTGAGACTAACAAATACGCACAGACAAAAACTCTTGGTATTTTTTTGTCATGTACGACAAACCTATTTCAGACTGCTTCCATTTTATTTTATTTTTTTTTAGGTTCAATCATTTATTTCACTGCATGAGGATGGCATGTTGATCATTCAATAAGGCTCAGCTGACAAACATCTACAAGCCTTTTTGTAAGCGCACAGAAATCATCCTTACAAAGCCTGTCAGCTCCATTTATTACACTCAGCAACCTAGAAAATTGAACTAAATCAACATCATACTTGTCTTGACAGTTTCTCAATCTACTAACTCTTATTGAGCTCAGGAAGTGAACCACAATACAAGCACATTTTAAGGATTATTCTCTCAGAGAGAGAACTGAAAGTTACCAAAGGCATAGTAAAATTGATGGGAAATCATAATCTATACTTTCTCCACCTTAGAACAGCCTACTAGTAGCAGTCAGGAAAGTTCAGAATAATGAGGCAGATATGGTCCATCCATTGAATTCGTATCCTAAAATGCCAGATAATTTTTACAAACATATCATTCTTATGTTTCTTTTCCTCAGCTTAAATATATCCTCCTTTTGCCTTTTTCTGTTTCCCATGCCCTTAATTCCTTAGGCTGAGGACTCGCATATAAAACATCTTCAGAAGGGAGAAAACAAGAAAGGCTAAAGATCCTTGCTGAGAACATGAGTTCTCATTCAAGACTAAATTATCCCTTACCACAAATGCTTCCAGTAAACCATGCAGACAGCTAAGAAGGAATAAAAGTCATCATTGGTTAGTTCCTAAGCTCTAAAGTAGAGATGAGTAAAGTTGAATCTGTCTCCCAAAAAGGAAAGCATTGTAATGCGTTTATCATCTCAAAAGGAGATAATTACACAAATTAGAAGCCAGTAACAGCTAAAATACATAAAATAGAAGCCAATAATAGCTAAATCTGTAAGGTTCCTTATGCAAAGCTTGAAGCCAAATTTCAGCCAGCGAGACAGGAAAATGCCAGAGGCGCAGCAATTTGTCTTTCAGAAGTGTGTGGTCTCTTCACAAAAATAGTAGCAATATACATTCAAGGAAAAGAAAAAATTATTCATTAAGAAAAAAAGGGACCCAGGGACGGTAATTATCCTAGCGAATGTGCGAGTGGACATGAAAGCAGGAAAAAGTGAAATACCAGCAGCCTTCAATAGCAAAACTGAAGCAGGAGGAGTCTTCAAGATGAAAGTGAAGCTTTTATCCTGCAAAGGATCATAAAATTAAGCAAAGAGGACCTTATGGTACTACTTCGAAAATGAAACAGAAAGCAGTTGGATTTAGATAGAAGGAGGGGACTGACATCATAGACGGTTATCTCAACTGGGATAACAAAACCAGCTTTATCGGCAGTCCTGGCATTGTAATCCTTGCAGAAGGCCATGATGTTGACACCCTTAGAACCAAGAGCAGGCCCCACTGGAGGAGATGGGGTGGCCTTCCCTGCCTCCAGAGCCAGCTTAATAACCCCAGTCACTGCAGCAAGCACCCCAATGTGATTGTAGCCATTATAAAAACAAAAAACAAACCCAAAAAAGTTGAGAAATTTGGAGAAGTAAAATGAAAAGAGAGGAAAATTAAGCAAATAGTGGAGTAATAGAATCAAAAGGGAATACCTTTCTTGGGTTTACCGCCTGGCTTAGGCGGAGCCATGGAAATTACTCTGAGAGGCCTAGTAGCAGTTGAAGAAGATCGCTTGGTAAAGGGTTGTCCCTTGGCATGAAATTGGAGAGGGAAATTAGAGATGTTATGGTTTGAGGACAAACTGAGAGAAGATGGGAACGATGAGAGGTTTCTTGGCTTATTCTGTGAAGCAAGACTACTCAGAGGACTAGAATAAGTTGTACTAGCGCGTGACACAATAGCAGAAGAGGCCATTTTCTCGGATTTCCTGGTCGTATTATTTCCAAACAGAAGTAGAAGCAAGCAGGAGACAGGAAAAGATCTCGTTACAACTTCAACGGCAACAGGAGAGGAAGAGGGATGCCTGGAAGGAGAAAGCTATGATGGCTGATTTGATTGGGCAAACTCCCTCGAACTGCAACTGAGAGAGAGACGGAGACAGAGAGTTGTGGATAACATTCGTTACATAGGCTGATGCTCCGCCATCGGCCGACGTCGTTTACAGCCCTTGGTGGTTTGACTAAGGTCATGATACTGTTGGTCAAAAGCAAACTTTGGGTAGACCCGATTTAAGGGCGCTTTGGGAGTTGAGGATTTGAACGGAAGAGAAAGGGAAAGAAGAGAAAGCTTGATTCTCTTTTGTTTGGTAGTTTTAAATAGGAAAGAAAAGAAAGGAAATGGGAGGATGAATAGTGACCAAAATGTTTCCTCCCAAATTGGAAGGAAATGGAGAGAAAGTTTGGAGAAAGCTTGTTAATTTTTCTAAAATGCGAATTTTGTCCTTAAAAATGCATTGAACAACTATTTAATGACTTCCATATCCAAAATCATTCCACTAATTCTCAAACTCCCAAACAACATAATAATCTCTTCTCTTCTCTTCTCTTCTCTCATAACAAGCTTTCCATTCTTTTCTATCCTAAACTCCCAAACTAAGCCTAAAGATCCAATTATCCGGATTGTGTCATACCATTCGAAAAATGATGTGACACAATTTAAATTATTAAATCTTTGCAAATCAGGTTTATTTAAGTGTGAGTTTTGTTTAAAAATATCCAAAACAATCTCCTTGTGCTTTGGATTAATGTGGGATGCAAACGTAATTCATTTAAATTGATGGAGAGTAAAATGGATGCAGATGAAATTCATTTAAATTGATGAAAAATATAAGGGTAAAAAGTGATTTATAAGGGTAAAAACGAAAATAAAAAGAAGAAGGGGAAAAGAAAAAAGAAGGTCCTTTAGGAATATTTAAAGAATATGAAGGTAATTAGGAGGGAGTATTTTATATTTTACCCTAACTAGTAAGATCTTAGGAGGTGTTTGGTCATTGTTTGGGTATCAGCCATAAGCAACTTCGCCATGAATATATGTATTCATCATTCCCTTTTACGTGTTTGGTTTGGAATTAAAATGTGTTCCATTAAACCGATGAAATAATCACTTTGAAACACAAATCATAGGTTGAGAACGATAGGGAATAAATCCTTATCATTGCCATTAAACGATTTCCATATTTAGGATTGTTAGCAAATTGGATTTTGCGTATGACTTCACCTTAAAAAAAAAAATTTGAAAATCAAGAGATGCTTAAAAGATAAACACAAATATGTTGCGTACAGTAGCATTTTCCTTTCCAAGTTTGGAGCTACATAAACATGTTTACCTAAAGATCCATTAAGGTATCTTAAAAATAGGCCAGATATGGATCCATGAGTTCCAATCTATTTTGAATCCAATTTGAATAATATAAATGTCTACATGAGTAAATAATTCATATGGAGTAATTTATACCAAATCCACAAAATTTTCCTAAAATAAAAGAAAGGTCATACGACTTGAGTTTCTTTTCAATTCTATTGTTAATGTTTTACTAATTAAATTTGAGTGCATCTCAAAGATTAAATATCTGAAATGGAAACCTCTACTGTTCCATGATTTTAATGGAGCTTGAGAAACAAGCGCAGGGTCCTTTTGTTTCTCCTTTTGCTCTGAATTTTGCTCTTAGGCCCCAAGACCAGTAAGTTGGAGACAATGAGGGGGTATGTCATACCGTATCCGTATGTATGCGAAGTGCAAAGGGTAGTCATAAAAAATCGCCTTGACTTTGGTTGAGACTAAAGCTCAAAAAAAAAAGAAAAAAGAGTTTGGTTGAGACGACCACCAAGACGGCGGCTAAGGACTTCCATCCGTCAACGAATTTGATTCCATATCCCCGCGCGACAAAGGATTCCCTCCTCGAGGCATTTTATTAGAGTGCTCGCAACAATCTGTCTTTTGAAACAGATAGTATATAGTAGTAGGAGTAATTGGGAAGGATTGTGTGCTGAAATATATTGAAAAGGTCCTTTCATTGGGATGAGAGAAAGGATAAGGTAGCGTAGCGCGAATGACAAGAGGTTTGCAAGTCCGGCCTCCCGCCGGGGGTGCGGTGAAGTGATGACTGATGAGTTCAGCAGCCGTAAAAGACAAACGAAAATGTGCAGAGGCATGGAAGTGTTTCATACCACTACAAACATGGGAATTACAAAAAAATACTCCATTCAAAGGGCGTGGAGGTGGGGCTCAGGCTTGCCTTGTTTTTTTTGATTGTATCAAGTGGGAAGCGTGGGACGCCGTAACTCGTAAGCTATAGAATAGATCATAGATGATGGGTGGTGGGACTCTAGTTCTAGAAGACGGGAGAGGAATCCCCAGGATTCTTGGATTGGGTGTCCCTTTCAGCTTGCGGCTCTCGATATGGCAAGCAAGCTCAACGCATGGGTAGATCTGATCATATAAGGTAATTATGTGGTATAAATTTTATCACATCACACAGTTAATTCTTAAAAGATGGTTGGTGTGATAAAATTTGGACGGACTGTTTGTCTTATTGAAATATATATTGCTAGTAGTATTAATCACTCCCTAATTTGGCGAAAAAACCATTATTATTAATTAGTGACGTGAATCAATTTGTTTGTTTTGGAAAGGGACGAAGATGAATCTACAAAATGAGTTCATTTCCATTAGGCAAAACGACCTCAGTACACCGGGATAGATGGCCCACAGCACTCACTTCAACCAAATAATCTACATATATACTCCCCCTTTTTTTATAACTGCCATCTAAGAAATTTGCTCTAATGTACTTTTATCTGTCGTTTTATTATTTCCATACAGTATTAATTATTTTTTCACAATTTTACCCTTTTATCTCTCTTTTCCAATACAGGGTTCTTAATTACTACTCCTAGTAATTATTGCATTGCTTTTAGCCTAGTAAAACAGCACCATTTAGTACTCTAGTGAGAGAAAATATGGGTGAATTGGACAATTAATGAGGGTACAAAAGGAGAAAGTAGTGTACAAATTTAAGCAATGAAAAACTTTTCTTAATTGGTGTGCAAAACCTAAAACTTCAGTTATAAAAAAGGGATGGAATATATACTAGTGGAAATACCCGTGACATTATTAAAAAAAAAAAAATAAAATGATGAACAAATAAAGGTGAAAAAATTGTACTAACACACACACACACACACACACAATAACTAATTAATTGTCTTCCCCGCCCATCTCCTTATCGCTACTGCTATTACTTGCTTGCTGGCATTTAGTGGAGCTTGGAATAATAATAACTCACACACACTCACGGTGGCAATTGTTTTGCTCTCGACGCTCTTCTCAGTTCGCCCCAAGGCCCTAACCCAGAAATGATAAAAGGAAACCCCATTTTTTCCAGCTTCCCACCTCAAACGTAACTCCACTGGATTACGAGTGGTATAATTCCCTTCCCCCCCCCCCCTGTCGTTACTCGTTAGCCATGGGTTTCCTCTTCCACGTCATCAGATTACCGACAGCCCTGACTGGAGCATTCATTCTAAACCTTTGGAGCCATCTCAAGTTGCTGGCCATGGAGCACTCGCCCATCTGGGAATCTACAAACCACCCCCTGACCACCAACACCATTCCGCCGACGATTCCAACAATTACATCTTCATTTTCGATGAGGGCACCTGCCCATCCCTTCGTCCCATTCCCGTTCATGTCGTCGCCGCTGCCATCAAGACTAAAGTCCCTGTACTCCAATTTCAAGATTTTCTGCTTTTACAAGAAGTGCCGAGCCAGAAGCAGAGGAAGAAGCGGAATCGTCAACCTCAGAAGATTTTGTTCCGCAGAAGATGTGCACCATCTGCCTAGACCCCGTAGATTTGAAGCACCCAGGTGAGGCAGCTTTCCAGGTGCACCCATTCTTCCACAGAGATTGCCTGGATACATGGGTCGATTCCGGTCAGTTACTTGCCGCTCTGTAGATCTCTATTGCTGCCGCCCAAGACCAATCTCACCAATGCGCACTTGCCGCCCCCGCCCCCGCCGGAGATCCACCTCCATCCCCGCTCCAGGACAATGCTCCCTTAATCACCAGTTGACTTGTCTTTATTTCCTTTATATTCTTCTTGGCAATTTTAAATCTCTCTATTTCTTAGGCATCGTCCGCAGATGGGATGATGAGGTGGTTTGAGATCTGTAATTAATTGTTAGTGATGCCCCTTTTCCTTTTTCTATGCAAATACGTGCTCCGTTACTGCCTGCACCACCCATTTCAAAATGCTCTTGACAGCTAAGCTCCGGCGAAAAGATTTCTTCCCTTCACCCTCCGGGCCGCGGGAACTATTTTATGGGGTAGTTAAACTTTAGTTCCTATAATTTTGGCCGGTTCAATTAGTATAAACGAGTTATTTTTTTTAACAAAAATTTGGTGTTCAAATTTCTATTACTGATACGATCTGTAAAAATTCTCAGAAAAAGGTTTTAAAAAATAATGCATATGTATACTTACTTGGTGCATCTATTATGGCTTTTCAGTTTAATGTGACTAGTGGAAGACAAATAAGAATTTTTTGTCAGAGCCCAAAAAAAAAAAAAAGAGATTTTTGTTGATCATAGCCGATGACGATTACACTCAAGGGAATGCCCTAATTCCATAGGAAGTAAAACAACTAATCTGGAGTAGTTTACTTGTTGCGTACCGGTTGCGTTCGTCTGTATTACCTTTCCCTACCATCTATTTTTTATTTTATTTTTTCAGTGGGAGAGTTGAGATTTGAAAAAACAAGGAACGAGAAAGGGGATCGAGATGGCAGTAGATCGCGTACGCTGAAAAATCCCTCCTACCAATTATTGACCCCCTATACTTAAATTTTTTTTCCCATACTATTAGCTATCAGGTAACATTTTTAATTCTTGTTACTAAATCCTCTTATTTCGGATTTGAATTACCCATTAGGTATCCTTTACCCGCTATGTAAATAGTTCATGAAAAGATAATTTACTTTTATCAAACTAAAATTAATACATACATCATGTTAACTCAACACAACACATTAAATTTTAAATTTGGGTAGAACCATAAAACTTGCACGAGAGAAATTCAATATTTTGTGAAGTATAAAATTAACATTCTTCCAAAAAAAAAAAGAGTCAAACAACTTTTTTCACATTTTCCAGTAAGGAATTATACATAAAACATGATAAATAACAGGATACAAAATAAATATATGTGCCAACTGAATAAAAACTACAGAGAATAAGCAAGCTCTATAGAATATATATGTATGTATGTGTGTGTGTACGTATATATGTATGTATGTAATAGGTATTGAATTTTAGAATTCTATCAGCAAATGCTATCGATTTATCCGTAGATAGCCATTCACCACTACTAAGTCCTAATGGATTATTCATTAATCTTCTAATTGTATTAACCATCAAGTCGCGTATATTTAGGGATCGAAATTTAATTTTAATGAATTATACATCGATTGTCTAATTGTATTAATCGTTGGGTCAAATACTTCTCATCAACAGTCTAATCATATTAATCATGGGGTCAAGTACTTCTGGGAATCAAATTTTACCCTCCTATTCGCTAGCATCTTTAAATGTGAATTAGAAACTATAACTTCTAAGACTTAGGATCGCATGCCATATATTGGCATGATTAGACATTTCAAACTTTATCAGATTACGTCAATATTTTTGTTCAGTGAGCTCATCAACATACTAATGAAAAATTCAAATCGGCATATCAATGCTTTCTTCCTCAAATTGTTACGAGATATGTCATTAGTGAAAAAAATAGGTCAAAATCACGATAAAAATGAGAACGATTAACCAAATGACAAATTTAGTTCATTTAGTTTCAACTTTCGTGTATAAACTAACCGATAAATTCTATCCAATTCAATGAAGACATGTTCTGCAGTTAAGTTGCTAGTGCTGCACCTTCGCTTTCAATAGTGAGTTGTCACAAACATTGGGCCTTTTTTTAAGGAGCGACAAATGGACTTGGGTGGCCTGTGGGGTTTTATAATTTGGTCTGACTAATTTATGACTCCATGTGTATATGAAAAATTTTCATTGCAATTATTTGTTGAGGTGTTTTTAAAATTTAAAATTTTATTGAGATAGTTTTTAAGGATAAAAAAAAAATATATATATATATATATATATCACAGCACACCACCAACCATCATCCTTCCCCTTCTCCCACCTCCACTTCTTTTTTATCGTGACCTTTTGGTTATAGCCAAAAGTAGGAAAGGGAAGACGAGTCTAGCAGGAGCGTTGGCGTGAAAGGGAAGGAAGCAGGGTGATGGGTGAGGGGAGCGGAGGAGGGAGAAGGAGTTACAGAGAGGAGGAGCTAGAGGGAAGGGTAGGAGGGAGAGACAGGAAGAGGGAGGAGAGAAGAGAGGGGATGAATGGTGACGGTGGTGGGAAGAAGAAGAAAAAAGTGATAGAATTTATTTTTTATTTTTACTACTATATTTGAGATTGTGTATATTTTTTATGATATTTTTTAAATTTATTACTATAGACTTCATAAACAAAATTGTTTGCAGAAAAAAAATCAAATTCAAGCAAAGCCAACGATTTGCCGTTTTCTTTTCCCTTTTATAGTCTATCCATACTCCACAGCTACAACCATAATCATGCAAAATACCCAAAAAAAAAAAAAAAGTGTGTTGAAGAGTCATGGCAAACGATGATGCTTTCAAACGAATCGACCCTCGAAAGTGTCATGTCAGTTTGCTAAAGCCAAGGCACGAGTGACAGCATCGATCGTTTATGGTACTTTACCCATCTTTTTTCCAAAGTTATAAACCCGGTTTGGATTGAGAAAGGCGGACTGGAGACGAACGGCAACAGAGGAGAAGGTATATTGCGTAGTTACTAACTATCTATCACGTCATTTTTGACGTGAAGATTAATTAATAACTAATGCTGGAGAGCCAGGCGTCTGTTTTTTCTTGACTCATATATTTTGTCTTTGTTTTTTGGCAAGCAAAGACAAACTGAGGCCCCGTTTGAATTGCGATTTTTCTCAAACAAATTGTTACGTTTTTCTGTAAATGCTTTTTTATTACCTTTATACCTTACATATATCAAATCGCTATAATAATTTTTCTACAAAAAATTCAGAAAAATACAATCCAAACAGGGACATTGCTGGCTAACAGCCTCACCATCCACCCTTCCAATATTCAAGCATATATATAGTTACAAGAATTTAACTAAAACAATTAAGTATTTTGCAATGCAGATGTCTCTCATAGATCTCGATTCATAGGTCCTAATTAATATCCAGCATATTGATGATCGAAGTCTCTACCGTGGGATACCTTCTGATAATTACGCTATATTACATCTGTTTTCAGTCTCCTCCTAGTTTCTCTTGTATCGTTATTGTCGATTGCACGACATGATGCAATGGATGCCTATCTCGTGGGCGAAGAAAGCTGCCAATACTCTTTGCAATTATTTGTTAATGGCATAAGTGGTCCGTATCTCTAAAATTGGTTGGTTTTTCTATATGTCACTGGCTAGATTAGATTATCTAGAGGCCCAATTTGAAGTTCTCCATAAAACAGAGGAGTAAGTTGATGAATAGTGCTTTGCATTTGTTTGGAAGGGCCAAAGCAGGTAATGCTAGCGCTGCATCATTTGACTGGAAACGTAGCCTGCAGTGGTATAAGCAAATCAGCGATAAGGATACAAGAGATTCACCGACGCTGTGGACGGAGAGGGTGATGGAGCCATTTGGCATGCAAGCTTTTGAACAGACGCTTGCGTCAGCAAGGTAAATTAATTGGTTGTAATACTAGTTGTTATGCATTATGCACGTAGTCATGCAAAGAATTATCAATTATGGTCAGGAAAAAAAAAATACAGGTTTGCAAGTTCGCCGCAACCAAAGAAATTTTCCATTATATGAGAGGCCTGTTCATGTATTGGTGTTGGAAATAGATGTATCGATAGGAAATTGGCTTAGAAACCCCACTTTCATGCAGAAATCCAAACCAATACCGGCCAAAAAGAAAATCAAGAGATTTTCAGATACATAAACTGCACCATCAAGGGCGGTTGACAAAAGGCTGTCAGTGTCCAACTCCAGACCTGGTTCGGCACCCAATGTTGCAAGGCCTACATTACCAGAGGAATACGCCATAAATATCACACCCATAATTATCAAAACATTAGCACTTATCATCCATTTTTGAACAGTAATACCTTTGACAACGCCAAAAGCCGCAGATGTTCCTGACTTGAGATGAATATCGTCCAAATTTCTTCTTACTGCATACCGGAAGGTTACTCCAAATAAAGCACAGCTAACACAGGTAATTCCTAGAGGGAGTATTAGGTCAGAGATGGCAGTTATTCGAGTTAAGGATAAGGGCAGCCCTGCCAAGGTGCCAACTATGGCAGATATTGAAGCCGCTTTTACAGATTCTAGTCTCTCTTCATTTCTGTCAACTGATTGAATTTTCCCTGCAGTGAAAGAATCTTCCTCCCCGCCACTACCACCAATTAAAGCACGCTCTGCCTCTTCAACCATTGCTTTTGCATCTAAAATCTCTTTTTGACATTCTGCAATCTTCAACTAATTTCCACTCAGTATATCGAGCTAAAAATCACATCTCAAGCACATTTCAGCATGCAAATCGAAGTAGAGTGTCATATGGAATTGGAGCTAAAGCAAGGCTCAAACATTGGCATGGGCACAGGATTGTCAAGAAAATGATGCTTTGGTTGACAAAATATCTCCTATGCTAGCCTTGTCAAGTAAATTAGATAGAAATAAAATGCTACAACTAGCTAGGTATGCAGCGATTAGACCATTTAGATCACAAATCAGCTCTTAAAGAACCCTCACTTTGCACGTCCCATGCTACACCCATCTATGCTTCTCCTCCTATAACAAAAATAGCAGACTACTAGTATTAACTATTAACAAAAGCACTACTGTTTTTGGTGGTGCATACCTTGCGTGAGAGTATGAATAGCTGTTCAAGTTACAAAGCAATAAGACAAAGGTCAAGCAATAAGACAAAGGTCTTCACCATTGACAAGAGGTACAGGTGATATAATGAGCATGCACAACATCCACAGAGCAATTCGATAGCGTTTACCAGCAGAGCTTCCAATAAGGTCGGAAATGATTTGCCGACCAAAATAATGCAGAAATTGTATTAGGAATCGGGGAGGAGAGAGAAAACGTTAAAGAAAGAAGAAAAATACCTGGGAAGTAGTGGATTGGAGCTTGTTAACATAATCCCTCAGGAGCTTAGCCTCGAGTTCTTGTCTTTGAATCTCAGCCAACTGTTTCTTGGCCATTTCAACTCTGTGGGTTGCTTTCTCCAACCCATCCAGTAAAACCCGGTTCTCCTCTTTGTTGAACAGTTGTTCTACTCTCTCATCCACCATACCTGATAGTATATCCTCGAGACTGCTACCCGTTTCATTCTGATTCCCGTTGCTGCTGCTGCTGCATTTAACGAGATTTACTTGTAACCTTGTTAGTCTTCTTGGTCTTGTTGGTGCTGCAACTAACACCGCTGCCGCGTTTGAGAACAACTTTTTATTAGTGACTTGAAATTTCTGATTGTATTGGTAGGAGACGTGAATTCTGATTCTGGGGTTTGGAAATGGGATTGACGAAAAATTGGGTGCTGAAGCGATGGGTGATGAAGACGAACCCATCTAATCCGCAAGGGGAAAAAGCAAAGGGCCTCGAGACTGCTCCAAAAAAAAATCTTCGCTTTGGGCTTTTATCCAGCCTTGCTCTCCATCTACGTAAAATTACCATTTTGTTCCTTATAACGGAGTCTTGGCAAATGCTATCTTTACTACCATGTACCCATTTTATTTTTTACTGGTGCTAAACACAGACTCGACATGCGTGCAATAAAAATAAATAAATAGTATTTATGATAATATGTTTTATAGTATAAATTTTTCATTATTAAATCAATTTTTAATGTTTTAAATATTTTATAAAATAATTCCATAATGATAGCTATAATGTTTAGAGATAATTATGCGAAAAACAGATGTTCAAATAGTTAAAAGTAAAAAATATTTATAGATAGTTATCTTGACGTGAATTCTGATTTTAAGAAAAATAATTCACCGTATGTGTGGATAAACTAAAAGAGAAATTTATAAGAAAGATATAATTAGCAATTTGTATTCTATCGGGAAAAATGATATGAGTTTTTTCATTTGCAGAAGGGGGGAGGGGAGGAAATTTTCGAGGATTATTGGAGGTTTATTACAATTACAAGTAAGGTGACCATACAAACGAGACATTGGTTTAAATTGAATAATAATACTCTAATATTATTTATTATTATAAAAAGGATCCGGAGCTGTTTGGATCTGGGCGGTTAGAAATAGCGACAGGCATGTTGGCGGCAGTAGTTCAAAGAGTTCTTCTCAGCAAGAAGCCGCTTTTCAACTTCAACTTTCACACGCAACGCAACAACTTCATCTTCCCTCTCATGGCAGCCACCTTCAGCACCGCTTCTTCTTCACCCACAGCTTCCGGCAACCTCACAACAACAAAGCGAGTGGGAACTCACAATGGTAGCTTCCACTGTGACGAAGCTCTCGGCTGCTTCATGATTCGCCTTACCAGAAAATTCTCCGATGCCCAAATCGTCCGTTCTCGTGATCCTCAGGTCATTATTGTCATCTCTTTCACACTTCGTGCAGGTTCTACAGGCGCCGCAGTTTTCGGTGGGTATAGGTTTGTGCATCTGACGTGTAGTTAATGTGTTTGATGAAATGCTTGAATTGAAGGTTTTGGAAAAGCTTGATGCTGTTCTTGATGTTGGTGGGATTTACGATCCAAGTCACGATCGGTATGATCATCACCAAAAAGGTTTTGAGGAGGTTTTTGGGCATGGCTTTAATACAAAGCTCAGTAGTGCTGGTCTCGTCTACAAGGTAGAAAATATATATTTACTTAATTATGTCTGACGACGTATGCTTCTATGTCTCATTTGGCAGTTGAATAGACTTTCTCTATCAGTTGAGAGATTTTAGTTTCCATGATCTATCTTTTGAATCCTCTGTGACATCCCTTAAGAGTATTAAGTAACGATGCATTGCATTTGATTAGCACTTTGGAAAGGAGATTATCGCAAAAGAGCTTGGAGTTGAGGAACAACATCTTGATGTGCAAAGGTTGTTTTTAGCAGTTTATAAGAGCTTCATGGAGGTACTGACAAAGTGCTCTGTCTAAACCCCCTTCCCCGGTTATTTGACGATATAATTGTTCTCTTTGTGATCATGGCACCTCAAGAATTCTGAATGTAGAACTGGATGGTAAAGTAACAAACTTCTTTGAGCCATAATTCAAGATCATATTATGGGAAAAAGATACCTTGCTCGAAAGGATTCTTTTATTTAAGAAGAAATCTTTGTGCTGAACGAAGTGTGAGGACAATATTAATTAGTCAATGCAATGCTTAAACATTTAGTTCCTGTGTTTAATTATCTATATCTCTTAAAGTAGTATGAAGGATAATTGACTGGCTATTAATTTGTAAAAGGTGGGAAGGAAATGAAGACTTGCTGTAGATTCTACAACACTTTTTACCTAGCTACAATTGTACTCCTGGAAAAAATATGTTTCTCATGGAAATGGGGTGGGGGCGGATAAATGTATGAAGTGATGAAATGTCATCCGTCTGTAATGGCATTTGGGACAGTTTGCACAAGTAGGAGATTTTTCTCCTTGGATCAATTGTGTTGACATTTTTGTTCAACTTTCACAGGCAATTGATGCGATAGACAATGGAATTAACCAATACGACACAGACCAGCCCCCGAAGTATGTAAACAATACTCACTTGTCTTCTCGGGTAGGAAGGTTAAATTTGGACTGGACCGATCCTGACCAGTCATCTGAGAGAGAGAATGAAGCCTTTGAACGTGCGATGATTCTGGCTGGGAGTGAGTTTTTGGATGTAAGGCTTCCTTATTTGTTTTTTTATCTATTTTTTGGAAGATTAAGTTTTTGCACTTTAAATCTTGCTAAAGATTTTGGGGAGTAGGGCTCCTGTCACATTTATTTTGAAGGTTAATTAGTCTTGTTTTGATCTGACAAGGATAGAAGGATTTATAGCCCAATAGTTGACTAGTTGCACTGAAGTTGTTTGTTTAAACTGGTAACAAATCTTTCCTTTTATTCACAGAGTGTACGGTTTCATGTAAGATCATGGTTACCTGCTCGGGCAATTGTCATTGAGTCTCTTGCAGAAAGACAAGATATTGATCCAAGTGGAGAAATCATGGTCTTGAAGAGATTTTGCCCTGTAAGTAATTTGAAAACTTTGTGCAAGATAGTGCAGCTTTTTAATGCTTTTTCCCTTAAATCTACAATCTTTCATTACTCTGTAGCTCATAAGTGCTTGATTTAGATTGTTGTCATTATTACTCTGCACTTACTTGCAATCAGTTATTTCTTGGAAGACTTGTACTGGATAGCGCATATCTTTTGTTCTACAGTTGAGAATGGTCACTAACAGTTAAAGAGAGACAAGATAGGTTGTTGTTGCCTAGTGTCAGTTATGCATGTTTTCCGTCTTTATGAAACGAATAATATGTATACCTGTTTTCTGGTTACATTTTGTGAAGCTACCATCACATTATATGTATGCGCCATGCAAGTCACATTTGATTTGAAGGTGGGAAAACTTTCAAATTCTTGTATTGAACCGTGATGATTTGGCATCTTTTTGTTAGATTCTTTTTCGTCTTTTTTTTTTTGAAACACGTTTTAATAGTATCATTAGTATTACAAATTCTATCTGTTAGATTTTTTTGTCTTTTTTTTTTTATAAGTTTTTCATAGTATCACCAGTATTACAAATTCTATGACACACCCATTTCTTTGCTGGGAGATACTGCGCATGGTACTTTATCAAAACATACCTCATATATTTATGGGTGTTAGAACCTTATCATAGTATCAGTTTGTTATTTGTCCACATAACCCATGGCATATGGGCTCCAAGCTGAGAAATTTTTATTTGGCATTGTGTTGTCCCATAGTGGAAGCTTCATTTGTTTGAGCTTGAGGCGGAGATGAAGATTGATCCTCCTATTAAATACGTCCTTTACCAGGTACCTATGTGCATCTTGTTTTGTTATCACTTTCATCTGAATTTTTTAACCTCTTGACATGGATTTTCCTCGAGTTCTTGGTTGGTTTAAAATTATTGTTTTCTTTGCTTTTGTAGGATGACAGAAGTAAAAGTTGGCGAGTGCAGGCAGTGGCAGTATCTCCTGATAGATTTGAGAGCCGGAAGGCCCTTCCAGCTCAATGGCGCGGCCTCAGAGATGATGAACTGTCTAAGTTGACTGGCATTCCTGGGTGTGTATTCGTGCATATGAGTGGTTTTATTGGTGGAAATCAAAGTTACGAGGGCGCTCTGGCAATGGCCCAGGCTGCTTTGAAACTCTAGGACACAAACCTAGAACTTTCAATTTTTTCCGAGGACACAAACCTACAGCTTTCACTTTTTTTCGCTAGGAGACAACTACTTCAGGATTCGAGCACAGTGCCAACCCAGCGTTGTTGCTGTCCTGCAGTTGTTCGCCTAAGAATTGTCAGCGTTGCCAGCTTTGAGTTTAGGTTTAACTTTAAGATGGATTTGGACGTTTTACTACCTTCTGAATTCATCACAAGGTTAGGAAGGAAGAAAGGAATTCAAAAATTTTTAAGTCGAAAGTGGGAATAGAATTTCAATGCGTATGTGTCCAATTATTTGTATACGCTACTGAGTGAAATTCTTTTGGCATGCAATGACACACTTATCTTAGATGGTCCTGGATGGACGGAAGATTGCTTTGTATGTTGAGATCTGCGTTTTTACGTTATTCAGAATTGACTGACTCTGCTTGACTTGAGATTGGGATGTCTACTTATTATAGGCTAAAGCTGCTGCATTCAGGTTTCAGCCTCTTACTACCATGGAAGGAAACAATCATCGTCATGCCTAGTAATCCCTTTTGGTTCTATTTCTGTTTCCGACTCGGGAGATATGTAATCAAGCAGCTGATTAAACCTACAAGTCTATCCTCCTATAATCAAATTAATTATGATCATAGGTGGTTCTTTTAGTGAATTAGCTATAATAAAGGTGAATGGAGGATGATGGTAGCGGGAAAGAAATGTACACTTTTTAAGGCAAACACTTGCCCTTGCATCCGGAATATGCAAAGGTGAATGGAGGATGATGGTAGCGGGAAAGAAATGTACACTTTTTAAGGCAAACACTTGCCCTTGCATCCGGAATATGCAAAGGTTCCAGTCGAAAAATAATTAAAGAAAGCCCTAACGGTTCGTTTTTCTCATTTTGTGCGCGAAAACAATACAAGGCGCAAAGAGAGTCTTGGCCATCCCCCACAGGCCACAACCATACCCAAGTCGAAGTTAGTTCGGCCATGGCCACTGTGGCAAACAATTCTTCTTCTTCCCTCTCAACTCTCAGAAAAACAGCCCTTTATCCCACTCTCTCCCCAAGACCTCATTCAATTCAGCCACCCTTGCCCTTCTTTCCTTCTCCTCCAATTACCCATCTCTCCCTAAACCTCAAATGCTCCGGCCCCACCACTCCCATACGCATTAAAAGTTCTTCGTCCTCCGCCGCCGCCGCCGCCTCCGTCCCAGAAACACTCAAATCCCGCCTCAGAAATGGCGAGACGCTTTACGGCATATTCCTCCTCAGCTTCTCCCCAACCCTCGCCGAGATCGCCGGCCTGTCCGGTTACGACTTCGCAGTCGTCGACATGGAACACGGCCCCGGCGGCATCTCCGACGCCCTCCCTTGCCTCCACGCCCTTGCCGCCACCAACACTGCCGCCATCCTCAGGATCCCGGAATCCTCCGCCACCTGGGCCAAGAAGGCCTTGGATCTGGGCCCGCAAGGAATCATGTTCCCGATGATAGACGGGCCGAAGGCGGCCCAAAAGGCCGTGTCTTACTGCCGCTTCCCGCCCAGTGGGGTCCGGGGATCGGCGCACACAGTAGTTCGGGCCTCGGGCTACGGGATTGACGAGGGGTATTTAAGCAACTACGAGGAGGAGCTGTTGATCATGTGCCAGGTGGAGTGTGGGGAGGGAGTGAAGAGGATTAAGGAGATCGCGGCCGTTGATGGGGTGGACTGTATCCAAATGGGGCCGTTGGATTTAAGTGCGAGTCTGGGGTACTTGTGGGACCCGGGTCATAAGAAGGTGAAGGAGGTGATGAGGGCAGCTGAGAAGGCGGTGCTGGCGGAGTCGAAGCCGCCTGAGGAAGGAGGGGCCTACTTGGCTGGCTTTGCCATGCCGCACGATAGTGGGTTGGATTTAAAATCACGAGGGTATCACATGGTGTCTGGGGCAGTGGATGTAGGGTTGTTCAGGAATGCAGCTGTAGAGGACGTGCAGAGGTTTTGGTCCACGGGTGTGGAGGAGGCGGACAAGTCTTCAGAAGAAGGCGAGGGTGGTGAAAATGGGGATGAAAAGTATTGGAGCGAGTAAAAAATTTTTTTTTTTAAAAAATGCTGCTGTTGAATTACCGTACCGTACCGTCTCTCAAATGTAAGATGTAAGGGTTGGGCAAAAATAAATAAATGAAATCCTCTTCGTGTTTGTCTTTCTTTCTCATTGGAGTATCATCTACCACCGCCCCCTTTCTTCTTTCCTTCGTCATGTGGACGAATTTGTTTCATGAGTTAGATTGCGAATGTGCGAACGTATCTGTATTACAAAATGTGGTTTTGATTGCCAAAGACGAAAAGGAAAGAAAGAAAGAATGTGAAAGGGAGCGCCCCCAATTCACGAGTTATTGAAAAAATTGTTGCCTACCGATTTCCTGCTTGTGTAACGGATATATAGGGTAATTGCTCTGTTGGAGAACACATATGAGGAGCAAATTCTACTCACTACATTCAACAGATTAGGATCAAATTCTGCAAAGTGATTAATTTGGCGCGTATGAATAATTGTTGCCATGGGGGCTGAGTGACAGACAGAACTTACGTAGTGTCGGTAGATTGGGTGGGACTGTTATGGAAAGACCCTCGATCACTTTCAGTAGCCAGTTACTACATAATTCTTGCCCAGACGTTTCGGAAACAGGCATAGGCCTGTAACCAGTTCTTCCCAATGATGAGCTGCATCATGTGGTGCTTGTCCAAACTGTACCATGTGCTATGGTTTTCTCCAATAATGTAAAATTCCCCCAAGTCCTTACCATTCTCTCCTCTCTCTCTCTCTCTCTCTCTGCTGGGTTGTCCTACCTCGTCTTGCAGCATGCAAAACCAGTAGATCCAAAATGTTTGCACTGATTTACCATAACAAGAAGAAATACCAATAAACATATCTTTATTGACTGTTCTGTTCCTTCCTGCCCCCAAATCATAAGTGTACCTATTATTGAACCCCCCCCCCCTCCCCCCCAAAAAAAAAGGAAAGAAAGAAAGAAAGAGCGAAGCCAGAATAAAGGCCGAGCACTAGTACAAAAAAAAACATCCTCAGTCAAAGAACTCGCAAAAGAATCATGGGTGCCGGTGGTTAAAACATCAAACCTTTGACTGCATACCCAAAAAAAAAAAAAAACCGAGGACATTGTCGTAAATCCAGCTGGCACGTGTCTCTTAAGTCTTTACCCCACCAATCAACAATTGAGCAATCAATTAGTGAATACTCCGATTCTCTTTGGCCAATAAAAAAGTTCAGTTCCCGGACTCCCAAGTTGTGTCCCTCTCCAGATTTGACGGAGGAAAGGCAAGTGCAGAGTGCAGTGTGCAGAGAGCAGCGACGCCACCATATGGCAAGTCTTAGAATTTCAAGATGCCAGTTTTTGCATGCTCTTCAGTTGTATCTTTTGATCCAAACCGCCACAGTCTGCTGCTACCAATACAAAGTCGGAGATTTGGATGCTTGGAACGTACCCTCTTCCGCAAATCCAGATGTCTACCACATATGGTCCAGCAACCACAACTTCACCATTGGAGATTCCCTCTGTGAGTTAATTCTTTGCAACTCCCTCGTTCCACTGAATTTTTTCCCCAGTTTTGCATTGCTCTCCACACTCTCTTTTGCAGTGTTCATATCAGCAATCTAATGATTCAGCTCCCAACTCTTTTGCAGTGTTCCTTTACCCTCCAAGTCAAGATTCCGTAATACAAGTAACAGCTCAATCCTATAAGAGCTGCAACCTTAAAGATCCAATCTTGACAATGAACGATGGCAATTCGCTCTTCAATATTACGTCCCCCGGCTTGTTTTACTTCACCAGTGGCGTACCGGGGCACTGTGAAAAGTCGCAAAAGATTCGAATTGCTGTTCCTGGAAATGGATCTTACGTATTTCCACCAGATGATGCTTCAACTGCACCTTCTCCTTCTTATCCTACTGTTTTCGGTCCCATGCCAATGCAGGAAACAGCCCCCTCTTCGGCACCATTGACCAGAGTTCGTCCCGTCTCAATGTCGGCTGCCACTCTACTCTTCCTGTGTGTGAGTGTGATTGCGATCGGCCGCGTTTGAACGATCTGAATCTGAGCAAGAGACATTTTTAATGGTTTGAAAGAGGATACAATCATCCAAATCTCCGGAAGTTTATTTGTTCGCATATATAGTTTTGAATTAGGCAAATTGATTTGGGTTTGTCTTCTTTTACCTGTGGAGGAAGAAGTTGATTTTTTTTTTTCCATTTATTTCTTTTAAAAAAAATTAATTCTGGATTATTTGTACAAGATGATATACTCCGACCAACTATGATGGTTCTTTCATGTAATATGTAATTCTTTGCCATGATATAAAACAGTAAAGATTGTATTCACAAAAGCGTAAAGCTGTTGTTGACCCTACTTGCTATTTCGTATATGATATGAATATCAACCTTTTCTTCTTGCCCGGAAACATATCATCACTGCACACACGATCAAGTTCTCCATTATTGCCATTTTGTTACAGAGGAATTGAAGTGGAGAGTTAGATCCTGAGATTAATTTGGATGTGGGTCCCCTCCATATTCAGTTTCTGAAAAATCAAGAAAAATAGATACTCCCTCCGTCCCACTTTGATAGTTCTGGTTCTTTTTTCACACAGTTTAAGAAAAAATAGTTAATTTTGTTGGAACAATCAATTTAGGTAGCTTTTTTTCTAAAATACCCTCACATTAATTAGAGCACAACTTTATGGGAACTTGAATTGATGGTAAAAAAAAGAATAAACTCTCATTAAATGGAGTAGGTTTATAGTAACAATAACTTAAATTGAATAAGGGTATTTTAGAAAAATTAAAATATAACTACATTCTTCAATTGGAAAGTGGACTACGATTTGAGACAGACGAAAAAGGAAAACAGGACTATCAAAGTGGGACGGAGGGAGTAAAACGTAGCAGCAGTTAGTACTTGGCACATCGGAGAGGCAACAAATTTGAGTTATTTCAAGCCGTTGTTTTCCTTCCTCTTTTGCTCTTCCCAATGTAAGTGAAGCACCAACTTCACTAAAGGGTGACGCGTCCATACAATACACTTGTTGCCAGCTGAAACCAGCCACTCGCCATCGAGCATGAAAAGAACTAATTTTGTCAAATTTTCCCCAGCGAACATTCACTTTCACAAATACACCCATTTTTTTTGTTAATCTCTTTAAACTCAGGTATAACGTAATTTCCTCACAAATTCCTTTTCGCATTCAACCGCAAAAGAACTTCCGAAGAAAACCACATTGCTAACTCAGCATTTCACAAGGAACCCCGCAGGAAATGCACAGCCAATATTAAACATTTACAGACCCCGCCAGAAATGCAGTAGTTGGATGACACTGCATCAGGTCAAGCTATACTGAAGGCGTTCTCATAGCAATGGTGAGGTCTAGTCATGGAGTCAGAGACAAACAATTTCACGCCACACACAGGCTGAGGAATTATAAATAAACATTGACATTTCTTTTCCTTCTATCACATCTAGAAAGTTAAACCTCTTCATTCTTTTTCTCCAAACTATGTATTACATGAAGGCGACGGTTTTCTGGTCCTAGGCTTGAAAGTGGGAAATTGGCATGAAGCCCACTAACCACCTCAATGGTTAACTGCCGCACGACCTCACCTATATGATACTAATAACTTAACAATTCCATAGTTTACCAAGTTACACTACACACGACTCAAGGTATTAGCTGGTCAACCCCACATCAGGACTTGTAGGCTTCTCTTGAGACACGTGAGCAAGGCCAGGAGCAGTGGCCTCCACATATGGAGTTCCTGAGGTTTTCAATTCACCTGCCGCAAACGGATTCCTTACCTGAGCAGCATTCAAGTCCACATCCATGGCAGATGATGATGCCCTTGGGGGTGATGCGGGCTGCACCTCCACATCTGGGTAAGCGGCCTTGAACCTCGCTCGAAGGCCGTCATCAACAAGCCGTACACCATTCAACTGGTTACCCAGTGCCATCCACCTGAAGAAGACATGTAAGCGTTACCAGCAGAGCTTTTAAAGCAACTTAATGATTCCTGTTAACTAGTTTCCTAAAAAAGAAGATACCCTTAGATGCATATTAAGCGAAAAAAAAACCTCAGATGCGTATCTGTTTGACAATCTCAAAAAATGTTCTAGAAATCATGATCACATACCCTGCATGACAATTATGCATTCGAGCAAATAACTCCAGCTTTCTTGCCCTTGGCATTATCCTCTCCAGCATGGGATACATCTAAATAATATGATAGGCACCAATTAGCCTCAGAAATTTATGACTCACAACACAGAACAAAAATAAGAATAAGAAAATTTTTTTCTCCCATCCTTTGCAAGTGTATCCACTAAAACTGGAAAAAAGGGACCAATTTGCAGAAGAGCAGGACATATGATCACACACACACACACCCACAGATATACATATCTTTTCAATTTTTCCCCTCCCTTGCCATCAAAGGTGTAACTCAACTAACCTCATCTGGCTTCCGACTTGTCTCTCGGACCTCCGCAACAATGACATCAGTGTCAATGTTTCGATTTACTTCTGGATTGCCTTTTATCCCAACAAGGCAGTGCTCCTTACTGTGATTCAGCCAATGGCCTGTCCGGCCTGTTCTGATAATCCGCTGAAGTTGATTCGTCTTCACCCAGATAATCTCCTCAACACGCTTGTACCCCCAGAGTTCCAAACTGCAAGATGATGATAAAATTCTTGAGTTTCTAGTGACAATTTACATTGAAGCACGTAGTTCTATCTTTGCCTTGTTGGCAAATTGAAATGCACAACACAGTAACATCTAAATGAAAGACAAATCTTAGAAAGTAAACTTAAATGTTGAATGATATCTTGATCATTCAAGACAAATCTATTGCACCACGACTGGAAAAATATCATCATTGAGAAAAGATTGGATGATACAACAATCTGATTCTCATTTCGAGAAGCCAAAGTTACAAGAGCAATTACTCAACCCTACCTCAATATGGCAAGTTCAGGTGATTTCTCTCACTTTTTAGTAAGCACATTTTTTGACCAACAAATAAGGATGGCACTAAACTTTTTTGGCATTACACCAGTGGCAATGACTTTCATATCCTAAAGAAAGCAAGGACAATCATTTCTAAATATGACATACCACTCACGCCCTAGCTCCATTGCACGTCCAGTTACCCACAGAAAAATCAGACCATCAGTCTGCAGAGCAGGAACATTGAGGGTACGCATTTCATCATCAGCCATTGTCCCATAGGGCAATTCCATATGAATGTCCCATGGTGGATCAGCCATGATAACTCCAAATTGACCTAGAATATCCATTCTAAATGAGCGTATGTCACAATTGATCCATTGTGCTTCACCAAGCTCTACTTCTGAACAATAGTCAGCCCGTTGAGGCTTCAATGATTTGGCAGGAGGTAATGCCCCTGGTCCCATTGGTGACATATCTGGTGTTGAGTCAAGCTCATAATGCACGTATTTGCAAGTCTGCCATGGATAGTGAGTATCAGTAACATGACAGACATTTCAGGTATCCCATTGTTGGTATTAAGATATAAAGCAAAAATTGAATTCACCTTCATGTGACGACAAGTATCAAGAAAAGAGCAGTCACCCAAGTTAACATCAGTATGCGGAGCAATTATCCTCCGAAAATGAACCTAAAACATCAAGTACCTTTACTTTTAGAAATCCTTCAAACAATATGGAACTTAAGTAGAATCATCTCAACTAGAGCAATATGACAAAAGAATACAAGGAAATAGACTCAAAAGAGTTACCTTTTCACAAGCAATATAAGAACCAGATTGCCGTCGGCAATCTTCCTTTGTCAACGCTGAGCAGTACTCCTTTACTTGGGAACCACCTTTGCTTTTGAACTGAAACAAAATCAAGGCAATCACATAACTCATTAAGGACGCTTAAAAGTCAAGAAAGCAACTTACTTAAGAGCTATTAGGGAGTACTAAAGCCTTGTCACGATCTAAGAAAGAAACTAACCTTTGCAGCCACAGCAGTTTCCCTAGCAGTGGGCCTGTGAATGAGGTCCAAAAGCTCCTCTCCGGTTTTAGACTTCTGCATTTCCCTAAAGCTCTTCTTATTCAACAAAGCCTCAAGATCCTTCATATCATCCTCCTCGGTCCTTGGCTTCAGAGCAATGGCACCCGGGCCGCCCATAGGTCCATTCGACCCCATGGGAGGTCTCTGCATAGGAGGCGGCACGCCAACACCTCTAGGGACCCCCATAATCCCAGCCATCCCTCTCGGACCACCACCCCTCGGCCCCACTCCTCCTCCGGGAGGAAACACGGGTGGCATTCCCGGCCCTCCCATCCACATATCCGGCATTGGCCTCCCCATTCCAAAACCTCCACCACTACTACTGACAAAATCACCCCCATTCCTGGGACCCTCAAGACCTCGACTTTTCTGGTCGGAATTTGAATCGCTCTGCTGCTTACTCTCCGGCAACTCTTTCAACAGGCGAGTCCTATCAATATTCATCACCATAACCCTAGACTTGCCACTGACCACAAACTCCTCCAGGTCCACAACTCCCCCATTCTCCTCGACCATGGAGCGCAAGGCCATCTCCACAGCCAAAATGGCCCCGGACTCGCCTCCGAGGTCCCTGAGTGCGGCCCGCTCAGCGGGCGTGGCAGACTGATCATTCTCGAGCTTCCTCAAAACCGTAGAGGAATCAATCGGGGTAAAGGGCACCCTCTCGAGCAAGCAAACAGCGACCATGGACCTGACGAGGGAGAGGGGCCCACCGGCATCGTCGATGAGAAACTTGTCGGAGTCGGAGTTGGGAGCCTGAGAGAGAGGTGGAATGCGAGGGGGCAATTTGGGAAGGTTGAGGTTGTTAGCGTTAGCGTTAGGGTTGGGAAGGGGGTTGGGAAGGGGAGAAAAGGGGCGGGAGTTGAAGGAAGAGATAGCTTTGAGAGAGAGGTCGAGAGAGGAGACGAGGTCGGGGACTAGGGTTTGGAGAGAGGCGATGAGGTGTAGCTGAGCGTTGTGTAAGGTCTCCACACGGGATTCTAGCTGCTTGCGGACCTGCTTGACGGCAGTCATGGACTCCTCGCTGCTGCCTTCAGATGGCGTCTCCATGTTATGTTTTTTCTTTTCTTTTCTTTTTCTTTCTTCCAATCCTAAGGTGAAATTGCAGTAAAAAAAATGGAGATTGGGCTTAATTAAGGCGTCTCAGTTTGTTTTCTGAGCGATCTGATGGGGTCCTGAGCAATCCTCCCCCTGCAAAGTGCAAGCTTCCAGAGTCCCCCCTCAGCCCAGCAGCTGCTGCTGCCGCCGCCTTTTCCGTGTTTGATAAAACAACAGAGGCAAAAGAAGGGTTAAATACTAAAAAGTCCATGTAATTCACTGAAAGTTCAACTTAGCTCCCTGTAATTTGCATACCATACTATAACTTTCTCTCGATTTTAATTAAATTGAAATTTGGACAAAAACCGTCTAAATTGAGCATGTAAAATGTCACGATTACTCTTTATAAATAAATAATTGGATTAAATACCAATAAATCTTTATGATTTGTCGAATATTCTAGTTAATCCCCAGTAATTTACAAACCTACATATCTAGCTCTCTAATGATAAACAATTTCAATAAATCCTTTAACAACTACACATTCTTATCTCTCTGTGGTTCAAAAATTTATATTTCAAACCTTCGTCATAAACAATCTCAACGAGTCATTTAACAACTTCGCAGGCCTATATTCTAGTCCACCGTAATAAACAATTTCAATAAATTCTTTAATAACTATATATTTAACTCTATATAGTTCAAAAACTTGCAATTTAACACCTTGTGATAACAATTGCAATGAATCCTTTAACAACTACGAGGATGAAGAGAATGCCAATGTGATGAATTTCAATTGTTAGGAGAATTCTTTAACAATTGCTAATGTGACGAATTCAATTTAGTTAAAATTACGATGAGCTAATATGTAGGTTTTCGAATTATAAAAGGTTAAGTTGAACATTCGACAAACCAAAAGCATTTTGACAATTAATCCTACTATTTTATAAAGGACAATTTTGATGTTTCACGTGCAATTGTTAATTTAAAGGTTGTTTTTTGTCTACATTTCAATTTAGTTAAAACCATTGAAAGTTAGAATGTAAGTTTATGAACCATAAGCAGTCAAGTTCAATATTCAACAAATCACAAAGGGCTTTTTGGTATTTAACTTGGCAAAAGAACTAACTTGGTTTAGTGCATGAAATACGCTTTTCATTTCTAATATTTAGTATAATCAATTTTTAAATGACAAAATGGAATAAAATATGTGTAAATTTGACTTAATTATCCTGAAATCTATTATTGAGGATTACATATTTATACATTTATTTTGTTTATTTGCAAAATACTATTTGTTACTTTATACAAGGAACTTTGACTCTTTTTTTTTTGTATATTATGAATAACTTATGTACTTATTAAAATAATTTGATTATTATATTTTATTTATTTTTGAAATATGAATATTAATTTTCACTTTTTGTTTTAAATAACAATATAATTACCAGCTTATTAAAAATTAAATCACATGAAGTTAGACATTCATATTCTCCCTTTATTTTTTTCACTATGTCAAGTGCAAAAAAATGAAATATCTATACGTTTGCACATAAGTTTAAAGAAAAATATCTTAAAATTAGCAAAAAAAAAATTTAAAAATAACTGGAATAGTTTGTAAAAAAAATTATGGTCAATTATTGATTAAATTAATAAAAAGCCTAGTAGTTGGTAATGGAGTGAAAAAATGTATGAGAGTAAACTTGACACCAATAATTTTAGACATTTCAAGATGAAGGTGAAGGGATTGAGTGTCCAGGAAAAAGTTGAAATGACTCCAACTCAAAACATCCATATAATATGAGAATGAAATGCATAAGTGGGAAAAACCTTTTCATTCCGATTGATTATCGCATACCAAATGTAGAGTAAGGAAAATTGCGTCGTTTTCCGTGATCACATTTTCCTATTACATTTTTCCCTCACATACATCAAATCGCTATAGTATTTTTTCTATAGAAAATGACGGAAAATGCAATCCAAACGGGGCCTTAGGCTCTGTTTAATAATCTGATTCAGCATTTAATTTTAATGGAATCAGATCTTAACATATTCAGACCTGTTTGATAATAAAAAATTGTACATTTGAATTAATTAAGTGGTACTGAATTTTTTTGGCAAAACTTGTTTCTAAAATTAAGTAATAAGATATTCGCTTATCACTAAATATGATATGTACTCAGATGTATTAGATTTAATTCTTAACAATTTAATAACTTAATGAATTCAAATTTTAGATTCAAATTTCAGATTCAGTTTTATCAAACACAAACTTAGTAATCAAATCAACAAAATCACACTTGGAGCCACTAACCATGAGTAACGACATTGAGCCGGTCCGTATGAAATAGTACTGTGTTACACGTATTTGATCATCCCCAAGACTAACCTCTTCAACATTTGATTTATTTTTATTTTTATTTTTTGGAAAAGAGGAAAGATGCAGGTGTCGTCTCCAGACTTTCGGCCATTTTTTTTTTTTTTTGACTGAGTTCCCATGCAATGCATCTTGTAATGTTCTTAAGCTATACGGTTTCTAGCAAATTCATTAATACAATTCTAATTTTATTGAACCCAAAAAGAAAAAAAAAATTTTGTTTAATCTCGCAAATCACTCACCTCTGTTTCTAGAATTTAGGCACATCCACCTTTATCTTGTAGAGCCTCGTTCTATTTTCTTTTCTTTTTTTTTATCAGACTTTTGAAGTTAGTTAATTAAATCTAATCCCAAATTAAACCCCAAAAGTCTCGTTCTATTTTCTAAAGTCTCTGCAATTGACAGTAACAAATGCTAACCATTACTCCTTTTTAAACAGCTTGACATCTTGGTCTGGTCATTTTCAAGATGAGTTCGAATAAGCTTAGCAAATTAATTTAGTTTTAAGCCTGCGGTGTCGAATTCACGAAACTAACGTTCTGTTTCGTAATTGATGAAAAACGGTGCATTTTGTAAGTCCAGATGATGAATATTCACACACTTTGCTATCGTTCTGTTTTTGACATAATTCTCAAAAACACAGTACAATCCAGCCAGATGATGCAATATTCAAACATCTCCCTGTCATTCTGTAAATTCTCAAAATGCAACATGCAGTTCAGTAGTGTTTCCAACTTCGTGTGTCTAGACAACTGCTTGCATACAGTCTCGATAGCATGCATGCAATGCAATCCCGACTCCCTTGGCCAACCACCTCTTCCTTACCTCCTCTTTCGTCATTGATCAAGCAACCAAGAATTAGAATAAGACACAATTATATACATACAAGACAAGTAAAATCAGCTTTCTTGATCATTCATCTCAACTAGGAGATCACTGGACAGCCCTCAACCACTATCCCTTTAGCGGTTGGGCAAGTGGCGTAAGGACAACCATCAAGGTCATTTCCCCACCAACTGAGAGTGATGTCTTCCAATCCCAGTGCCATATACAGCAGAACCCCCATAAAGGCCAAACCTGCATCTAATGCACCAGAGAGTACGTAATTGAAGCGTCGCCAAGACTCTGGCCTATATCTGTACCATACATAGCCTGATAAGAACCCAACTATAATCCAGGTGGTGTAGTTAACTGCAGTTGCCGGTGGCATGCTTCCGGTGGCTCCAATCAATACTGGCATGTTTATAAGTTTAATCCAATGTTGATTGGGGAAGGCCCTAGCAGCCAACCACACAAGAAGAGGAGCAATTGCTCCCCCAAGGAAGAACCAATTCACCATTGCGTACGTTCCCAAATCTCCAAAAATTCTACGTGGGCCGATGAGTCCCCAGATTACTGATGCATCATAAAATACACGATCACTTGGACAGGTCCATACTGATTGAGAAGATGTTGTCTCGCATATGTCCGGGATGGTCTCCAGCAACCACCATGCCGTGCCCAAATACACAAAAGCCGCTATTAGAGTTCCAACAACCTGAACAACAAAACTTACTAATTGTACTTAGGCAGCTTTTAAATTAATAGAGTATTCGTTCGATTAAAGGAATGCTCATCAAGAAACGTACTTAAGCTGTAAGCAATTAATAGAAAGTGATCGAACCTGCGCCATAAACATTGTTCTGGGAGGAATTTTCATGTAATGGCCGAGCTTGAAATCTTGCAAGAAAGTTATGGCCTGAGACATGCTAATGTATCCATACACCTTGAAGCACATGTTTGCCACGGGATATCCCGGATATATGTAGCCGATGATATATTCGGTGATGATGTTCAACCCCGGTGACTATCATTTCAAGGATAAACTTTCAGGAAATCACACAAGTAACTTCTTGTGAGAGAGAGTGAAAAAAAAAATCAATCTTTTTTTTTTATGCATTGCAGTTTTCAAAAGTATGGGTACTAGTCATACTAGCTAGTATGATAAGGAATTACCTGGTTAGTGATGGCAGTGATTATGCCAATAGGCAGAGTGAAGAAAATGGCGATTAAACAAGCTAGTAGGACGCCCCACCATGGCAACTGAAGTTGCTCGTTGTAATATTCACAAACAAAAATTGTAAGCGCAATGTTTGCGACCAAAATGCACCAAAACCACCACTCGGGTACTTGATTGTACTTGCTCATGAGCCTTGTGTGTATGTCCATTTTCTTCTCTTTGAAACTCGATTTGCTCTGCTCCCATATTTCTCTGCATTTAGTTTGAAAGCTGAAATGTATGAGCTTTACACTTGCAACATCTAGTTCATCTCCACGATCAGCACCATTGTAATTTTCTCCGCGCGCCCAGTACAATTTTATCATTCATATTAGAGCAGATGAAACATCAAATCATAAGAAGCCCATGAAACTAATAGAAATAGGAGCGATGCAAGCAAGTAACATAGCAGCAGTACTCCTATTTAGCATTTAGGGGCGTACCTGCCATGGAAAAGACAAACGTGCGTAATGGTAGCAGTGAGAGCGGCAAAGCCAATGCCGTAAGTCATTGCAAAAAATGTGCTGAGATAAAGGGTTCCCTCTCGCTCATATGCCGCAATATCCAGGTGAAAGTTAGAGTCAATAATGGCGGTGATGTCGTAAACTTGGCCTTGGGCATTGAAGAGCTCATCGGAGAATATGGGGAAAGTCTTGGCTTTGTAAAGGTCGAGCCAGTAGGCTAGAGGAGTCAGCGCATACATGACCAGCACAAATCCTGCAGCAACATTGGCCGTGGCAAACCATGGGCTTGCCAATGGGCTTCCTAGATAGGATGAGATTGTGGACCAGTCAAGCCCC